GACCAGCTGATCGTTGTATGTGCGTGTGTCTGAGTACACCGTCAGCGTCTTGCTCGGTTGGTTGAAAGCTTTGGTGAGGAGGAAGGATGCAGTTTACTGGGTCTCCTCGGGCTTCAGTGGCACCTGCAGTGGATTAGTGGATAAAAAGAACCCGAGAAGCCACTTGTGCCCAACACATCAGGAGGCTATGACAGGAAGAAGCAGAGTTTGAGGCTAGCCTGGACCTCATAGCTAGACCCTGTCTTGGGAGAGAGGGAGGGAGGGAGGGAGGTAAAACCAGTTAGGCAGCTCTGCCAGTGTGCATCAAGTGAGGTGAGGACCTCAGGGAGAGTGACAGTGGCCAGGAGAAGAAAGTGGGCCACATGGAGAGTAAAAGAGATCAGCTCGAGGACAGATGGAGTAAACCAGGAAGGAGAGCGGGGCCACCGTTGGAGTGCCACCCCTTCTGTCTTCTCTCCATAACCACCGCCAGCCTCTCTCTCCTCAGTGTCCGTTGCTGACACTACCTCCTCTAAGACTTACCAGAGCTTCAGAAACAGATCTCTTCTGAGGCTCTGAACCTATCAGCTGTTCTCATTGAAAGGGTTTGAGCACCTTGGGCGTCATAGTGTGGCCACTTCCAGCCCCATCTTGCTGCCTCTGCTGTGGGCTCTAGATGTAGGGGATTCTAGCCAGGTCACCCGTGGACACGTTGTACAGCTGTTGGTAGAGACAGCCGCTGGCGTGCAGGAGAACGAGATCAAGATTACTGCCCTTGGAGGAGAGAGCTCTTCACAGAAAAGACAGCCATGCGGTGTGATAATGGAGGCCTGGGCATGTTCCTTTCATCTGAGTGGTGAGGGAGTCTCACTGAGGAGGTGAAAATGGGGTGGTGGTGATAATACATAAAGCATTGGAACTAGAGGAAGAAATTCCAGAAAGTACTGCAACATCAGAGGCTTGAGGCTAGAATGTACATGGCTTATGTAAGAGACATAGGGAGGATCGCGGATGGAGTGTGAGAGAGGGTGAGAGATGCTAAAGAGAATTATCAGAGTATCAGAATTACCAGACAGTACCCCACAGAACGTGGATTATTAATGTGGGATCGTGAAAATAATATCATGAATTTGGAAATTCTGATTTTTTTACATTAGAGATACATCCTGAAGTATTTATAATTGAGATGATATAGTGCCTATAATTTGCTTTCAAACTTTCTAGGGAAAAAAAATGAAATAAAAACCAAGAGTTGGACAGGTAAAGGTGACAAAATAAAACATTGTAGAAACTTGGTGTGTGTGTGTGTGTGTGTGTGTGTGTGTGTGTGTGTGTGTGTGTGTGTAGACCAGACATCAACAACATCATGTGGCTCCCTCTGTCTCTCTCCACCTCGTTTTTTGGGACAGACTTCTCATTGAATCTGGAGCTGCTCACAGTTTTGGCCAGCTTGTCTAGCCTGCAAGACCTGAGCCCCTAAGTGCAGGGGTTACCGATCTGCATCCCTATCTGGCTTTTGATGTGAGTGCTTGGGATCCAAACTCAAGTCCTCATTTGCACTTTACCTCCTCGGCCATCTCCCCTCGCCAGTGATTTTTGAAACTGAACAGTGTTCACTTTCTACGTGTCTCCGAGGGTGTTTGAAATTTTTTGTAGTGGAGAACATTGAGGGGCAAGTTTGGGAGCTTGGACTAAGTATGACTTCTTAGAATATGTGAAGGGTTTTAGCCTGACAAGGAATATGGAGAGAGCTACGAGAGACACAGAAGGCTTCACTTGGAACACTGTGAGATAACCAGGGAGGGGCAGATTGGACCTTGATGATGGTGGAGGCCCTGAGAAAGAAACTTTTGGGAGAAGTGATGAGGAACTAATTGCAGAAGAGGAATTCAGGTGGGTGGGGCTGCAGAAGCGACTCAGGTGCCCTGCTGGGGACTTCTCCCCTTCAGTCAGTAGCAATCCCAGGGACAACCAGGAGGAGGGGGAAGGGGTCTTGACTGAGGAGGAACTGAAGCTGGTCTTGGGACTGCCAGCAGGGTACTGGGCAGCGGTGAGTGGAGGTGAGAGGACCGGCCGGCTCCTTAGTTTTGTTAGGAAGAACTTCTGGGTGTTGGTTTCCTGTGAAAGTTAGCGGTTACGGTGAGCCTTTTAGAGCAGGTTTCTGCATTTTTTGTTTTGTTTGTTTTTTGCTCGGGAAATGGTGTAAATCTCATTAGTGATCCTATCTGAATAATTAAGATTGAAATTCTTTTGTGAAATTGAGCACTTTAAAATGTATATGTAAATTAAATGAGTAAAAATGATAAGATCTGGGGGAAACTCCAACTATGGGAAAATTATATACACACACACACACACACACACACACACACACACACACACACACACACATATATATGTCTTCTGATTTGTCAGTAGCAAAAAAATATTTAAAAATACACTTCAGACCCAATAGAAAGTAATAGTTGCCAGAAATTAGAGAGACATAGTAGTTCCCTAGACCTCTATAATTAAAGGTGTTAATCCTACAAGCACATCTAAGAAAATACGCTATAAACATCCTGCTCTGAGAAAGCACTAGGTGCCCCAAGAAGCTTGCGGGGCCCCTCTCCTGTCCTCATGACTCTTGGTTTGTTTGGAGTCAGGGCTTTCCACTGTAGCCCAAGCTGGTCCCAAACTCATGGGGGCCTTCCTGCCTCAGCTTTGTGAGTGCTGAAGTCGGGG